GGAACCCTGGGAGCCTGTCAGCAGTGCGTACTGTCTCCAATACGGAGGCACCGGGAGAGGCTGGGAGGGGAAAGGATGCGGCTTTACTTTAACATAAAGCTGATGCTTTTGACAGCACCTATGTCTTGAAACAATTTGACTGTGGTTAAGAGGCTGGATTTTGAAGCAAGACCTAGGGTCTCTCGGAATGTGGCCACTTTCTTTTAAAATATCGGGGCTGGAACGATAGCACAGCGGGTGGGGTGTTTGCCTTGCACGCGGCCGGCCCGGGTTCGATTCCCAGCATCCCATATGGTCCCCCGAGCACTGCCAGGAGTGATTCCTGAGTGCAGAGCCAGGAGTAACCTGTGAGCATCGCCAGGTGTGACCCAAAAAGCAAAAAAAAAAAAAAAAATACGGCTTTATGATGCCCCAGGACTTGGGCTTCTCTGAACCTTATTTCTGTGGCCTATAAAATGTGAACATTAGGAGCTGGAATGACAGTAGAGAGAGTAAGGTGCCTGCCTCATACACAACCAACTCTGATTCCATCCCCAGCATCCCATAAGGTTCCCCGAGCCCACCAGGAGTAAGCACCTCTAAGTGTGACTCCAAAACAAAAGTGGATGATAATGGTATGTGTCTTTGAGGGTGGGGGATGGATTTCATTATGTAGAAACTGTACAGCTTTTGACCTGATGCCCGGCTCATTGTAGATGTTTACTACATGGTGCTGTGAGTATCGTCATCAAAAGCATATTCATGATGAGCAAATAGGACACTTCCGGCAACTATAGAACAGCTTCTGCCATCTCCCCCCCTAACCACCCTTCCCCTTTGCCCCAACCCCGATACTCGAGTTTCACCATGTTTCCACTTCCAGGCCAATTCCTACTGGCCTTGTAGGCTGAGTGACCACCCAGACTTCCTCGCTAGCAGCACTGACTACTGAGATGAAGGAGAATCAGGAGGAGGATGAGCAAGAGGAGACTCATCTTTTTTATATATAATTTTTATTAGTGAAACACCATGAGGTACAGTTGTAGACTGACAAATTTTTGTGCTTGGGTTTCAATTATACAATGATCAAATACCCATCCCTCCACCAGTGCCCATTTCCCACCACCACAGATCCCAGTATCCCTCCCACCCACTCCCATCCCCCCATCCCACCTTGCCTCTGTGGCAGGGCATTTCCTTTTGTTCTCTCTCTCCTTTTGGGTGTTGTGGAGACCCATCTTTAAGCAGGCCACTAGCTTACTTGTGGAATTAATGTCACAGGAAAATGACGGTCCTTCGTTTCTTTTCCTTTTTTAAAAATTAATTTTATTTATTTATTTATTTATTTATTTTTGCTTTTTGTGTCACACCCGGAGTTGCACAGGGGTTACTCCTGGCTCTGCACTCAGGAATCACTCCTGGTGGTGTTCAGGGATGCTGGGAATCGAACCCGGGTCGGCCGCGTGCAAGGCAAATGCCCTACCCACTGTGCTATCGCTCCAGCCCCAGTCCTTTGTTTCTTAAGTTGATTTATACATTGTTGATTTGCAGCATATTTTTTGTTCCTTAGATTATTTTTTTCTCTAGGCAAAGTAATAATTTGCCAGTTGAACCTAATCCTTTGTTTAAATTCCAAATCTTTTATCGTAATTCATATATGCGTGAATTATGAGTATTTTTGGTGGTTTGGGGGGAGGGTATTGCTTTGGGTCACATCCAGCAACGCTCGGGGCTTATTTCTGGCTCTGCACTTAGGAATTATGCCTGGTGGTGCTCAGAAGACCATATGGGATGCCAGGGATCAAATTCAAGTTAGCCACATACAAAACAAGTACCCTATCCATTGTACTATTCCTTTGGCCCCTAGAAGTGTGTATTTTTTGTTTGTTTTGGGACCATGCTGAGTGATATTCTGGGGGTCCTCCTGGCTCTGCACTCAGGAATCCCTCCTGGCAGTCTCAGGAGACCCTATGGAATGCCGTGTATAGAACCCAGGTTGGTCTGCATGCAAGACAAGTGCCCTACCCACTGTGCTATTGCTCAGGTCCAGATGTGTGGCTCCGTATTTCAAAATCCCATTTACACTTGGCTTAGCAGCATAATGACAGCGTAGAAGCCTTGTATTTTCCTGGTTTTTCCCCCCAAGGCATTGTTTCAAATTTGCAAAGTTGCCTCCTGTCACCTTCATTTGACAAGGAAGAGCTTCCATGAACTTACCCAAAGAGCCAGGCTCTTTCCAGAGTTCTCCCTTTAACCCTTTGGTCGTCCGTTCATCCCCTGGTGATTTTTACCACTTGGGGTTGGCCTCTAAAATCAGAAGGACTTTGGGTTCTCAGAGTAATTCCTGTCCCCTTTCCTGGGCACTCTTTTCTCATCTCTGCATAGTTCACTTGTTTAGTAAGGGTATGAGAAAGAAAAGGAATTCAGGATTTATTGCCAGAACTCCCAGAATAAGGCTAGAAAGCCACACTCTATCCCAGAAGCCCAAGGAATTCCAGTATACTACTGTATCCTTCCAAACGCAACCTGCCTTCCTCTGTAGGAAGGATGGGACCCGTATCCAACCTAGTCAGGAAAGCCACATGCTTCTGGCCAAATGGCTGACTCGCATTGAAGCTGAGGTGGTCATCAGCTGGACTCCTTACACTGAAGCGTTCTGGGGTCCAGTGATACTCTAGGATGGCCAGTGACCTGGGGACAGAGGAGGCTGTGGTCTGCTCCTGGTCATGTGCTGGCACTTCCACATCTAGTCACTGCTGGGCTTCAGGCAATTCCCACCTTAACACGAGCAATCCGGTCTCCACTTTCCCCGTTACATAAAGCAGGGGCAATGAGTGTGACACAGCACCAGCACACCGTGATACTCATGCAGGTGCTCACTGATGATCCTTTTCCCTGGTGAGTCTGAGCGAGCTCTGTTCTACTAATGGCCTCGATGGACCAGCGTTGTGGCGGAGGGACACGTAGAGGTGCTGAAAAGGATCAAGGTTCCATAGATCGTTGATACTTCCACTCCTCCCTCACTGAGGAGGGCCTGGGGCGAAGCAGTTTGTCATTCCACCAAGCTCATACAAGTCAAGTCAATGGAACGTCCCAAGTGTCAGCTGAGCCCCTTGTGGATGCCGGGCCCTATGTGCACACAGGAGAAAGGGGACAGGGTGGAGAGGTGACTCGGACCCAGCCCGGCTCCACAGATGCTCAGCCTTCACAGCTGGCAGGAAGGAGAGGCTGAATCCCCAAGGTGTGGGAGCCGCTTTTCGATAGCAGCAACTTCCAGAAAGAGCAATGCAGGCTAGATGTATGCAGAGCTCGGGACAGACACGTGTGTCTGCAGCAGTGCCGGGACCCTCAGAAACCAGAGCTGGTGGGGCCACAGGGCAGATTGCTCTGAAAACAGAACTGCACATGCGCTTGTATCCCTGGGACTGGGGTTGTGCCAACCTTGTCCCCATCAACTCTGGTGAACATGGTCAACCCATTATACGACCTCACCAGTTCTTTTCTCAGAGGGTATTGGTTGGTTTGTTTCTTGGAAGAAGCATATCCGACAGTGCTCAGGGCTTCCTCCTGGCTCTGCTCAGGGATCATTCCTGGTGGGGTTGGGGGACCACATGGGGTGCACAGGATGGAACACACGTCGGCTGCATACAAGGCAAGCACCCTACTCACCGAACTATAACTCTGGCCGCCTCTCAGTGGCACATTGAAACACTTCACATTTGAAAAGTTGTTTTCCTGGTTGTGAGTTAACAGTCAACACACACGCTCATAGGTATACCCACTGGCAAACTGCCTGCTGACTTGGGAACCAATCAAAGCTAGGATTGCATCTGGTTGTGCCAACTGGCTGTGTGACTTTGTGTGACTTAGTTGATCTCTGAGCCTCAGTGTCCTCATCTGTAAGAAGGATAATCCTTCCTGTCTAATTCCCGCCCCAGGGCCTTTGAATGTATTTGTATTGAAAGGACTGAGTGTGCCTAAAGAGTCAAGTACTTGGATTATTGTCAATGCCCCCTAAATCCCGTGGTGGCTTTCTTAATTCTTCTCTTCAAGAATGCATCCAAATTGCTAGTGGCCTCTGTTCTGTCTGCAATAGATGCTTAGTGCCTTTTTCAACAAATGGAATTGACTGCATCTATTTAGCTGAGCCTGGAGATGTCACTGCCCCCATCTGCTGGGGCTTGCAGCCACCAGCGATGCCTACCGGCAGAGTGAAGAGACTGTTTGGGTGGGCAGAACTTCTCGTTGATGGAGAGGCAGCCTTCCCTTGGTCCTCTGAGACATCACAGTTGCCAAGTGATGGGATGGGCACGTCAGGTTGAAAGAACTGGGTCTTCCATTTGGTCCGCTGCTCTCCCGAGCTCCTAAGACCTGATGGAGAAGGGAGGTCTCAGCCCAAAACTAGGGGCCGTGGCAGACGAGCCGCAGTGAGGGCGGTCTCAGGCTTTGAGCTGGACTGTTGGGTTTTGCCACTCACTGTTTGGTTTTGCAGATCCCACCGTATGTCTCCACATACCTACCTACCAACTGGTTCCAAGGTCGTGCTCTGTCACGGGGATGGGCTAGGAGGGTGGGGAAGGTGGGATTGGGGCTGCTCAATTGAGGTCATTGACAGTGACCCGACTCTCTGACCTTATTTTACTCCCGCTTGCAACAAGACAGCGATTGTCTCAGGCAAGGGAGCCTTAACCCGAGAGAGAGCCTCGGATGGGTATTAAGTGTCCACAACCCCCCTGAAGTTACATGTAATGTGTTGGTAGGCTGGGCTGGGCCAAATGCACTCCCGCAAGTGCTTTTTCTGTGGAGAGGGGCCATAGCTTCGAACGGATTGTCAAAGTGACCCAAGACCTGGGACCGCCCCCTCCCCACCACCACCAGCACCAAGTACTTTGGTTTGGTTGTCCCACACCCATTGGAGTACGTAACTAAGCCCAACACCCAAACCACTCGGGGCAGAGACGAGATGAATCGGATCAGGTTGTAGTCGCGCAGCTGATGGATTGTTCAATCGGTTGTTGTAGACTCATGTAGACAAAGCCTGCAAGCTTGGGGAAACCAGGCTCCCCCAGGTCAGCCTTGGGCGACAGGCCTCATCCTGCCAAGCCCTGGGGAGTGAGTCCTACCTGCCCGGCAGCTCCTTTGCCCATGATCTGGCCCGAGTCACCTCGCACAACAGCTCGCAGGCAGCGCCCTGGGGCGGCTGGGATCCGAAGGCCTGGAGGCAGCTGCCCGCGCCACTGCTGCCTACCTGCGAAGCCCTAGGTAAGTCACACACCCCAGCCTCGCTTTTTCTCATCTGTCAACGGGGCACGGCCCCTGCTCAGCCTGCCGCCTGCCTCACAGGATTGTTGGGAGGTGACAGCCCAGACAACTCTGTACACCTAGGAAGGTTTTCTAGAGCCTTCTCTACTCTCCCTGCCAGTCGGGGCCAAACCGAACGCCCAACGAGCACAGTGCTGCAGAGCGCACCCGGGGCCACCTCTGGCCCCCTCTGCGAAGCCTCCCGGCACCCCAGTTCTTTCCCTGCCTGTCCCCGCTGCCCACCTGTGAGCCCGAGGGGAGGAGGTCTGGGCGCTGCACCCCCAGACCCCCCCTCTTCCCCAGCCGCTGCCGCTCCGGCCTGCCTTCCACTGTGGACTCTGAACTTCGAGCCAGTGACCGACCCCACCCAGGACCCGCGCCCCCAGAATCGGGAAGGTGGATCCTCCTTCCCGAGGCAGAAGGGCGCCAGGCCAAGCCTTGGTGGGGATCAAGTCGCGAAATTAGTAGAAGCAGCTTGACTTGCCTGGGAGACGCCCGGGCCTGGTCCTGGGAGCGGGACTCAGGCCAGACTGTCCAGGGCGCTTGTGGGCACGGAGCAGTGGAGCAGTGTGCGCAGGCCGAGCTGCACTGATAGCGATCAGAATGGGCCGTCGGCGATTCTCGCCTTTAATGGAAATCCTCCTCCTGCTCTGAAGCAGCTGAGCGGCAGCCTCCTGCCCCACTGTGGGGCTCCCGCGAAAAACCCATGGGTGGGAGAGCGCATCTCATGCCCCATTTCTGTCTCACCTCATTCCCTCTCTCCCCTCCCAGGGTGGGCTGAGGCTGTCCCCACCCCACTCTGGGTCCATGCTGGAGATAATGCACCCTGAGTGTCGGGGGAGGGGGGTTGAAAAGCATGGGGTTGAGCCCAGAGGACCCTTTAAGATCCAAGGCGGTCACCTCCCCGCAAACCTGCCCTGCCTCTGTGGGGTCCCTTCGGTTAGGGGTGAGGAGGCCTCAGGAACCCGAGCCATCAGGACCTACTAGAACCTTCTTCCTTGTCCCCTCCCTTGTACCTCCTGCCCTTCCCCTCCCTCTCCTGCTCCATCTCCTGCCCTCTTTCCCTTACTGCCCTCCCCCTCTCCTGCCCCTCCCCACCCCTCTCCTTCCCTCCTTCATATCTCCCTCCTTCCTCCCCTTCCAGCCTCCCTAGTCCTCCCTTCCTGCACCTCCCCACCCCCTCCTGCCTTTCTTGCTCTCCCCCTCTCCTCTCCCCCTTCCCACCTCCTCTCCTCTCCTCCCTTCCCACCTCCTCTCCTCTCCTCCCTTCCCATCTCCCCTGCTCTCCTCCCTTTGCCTCTCCTCACCACTCCTCTCCGCTGTCTCCTCTCCTCTCATATTCTCTCCATTCCTCCCCTCCCCTCCCCTCCCCTCTCCTCTCCTCTCCTCTCCTTTCCTGTCCTCACCTCTCCTTACCTCTCCTCTCCTCTCCTCTCCTCTCCTTTCCTGTCCTCACCTCTCCTTACCTCTCCTCTCCTCTCCTCTCCTCTCTTCTCCTCCCTTCCCACCTCGTCTCTCCTCCTTTCCCATCTCCTCTGCTCTCCTCCCTTTGCCTCTCTGCTCCTCTCCTCTCCTCTCCTCTGCTCTCCTCCCTTCCCATCTCCTCTGCTCTCCTCTCCTCTCCTTCCTTTCCACCTCTTCTCCTTTCCTCCTTTCCCATCTCCTCTGCTCTCCTCCCTTTGCCTCTCCTGTCCTCTCCTGTCCTGTCCTCTCCTCTCCTCTCCTCTCCTCTCCTTCCCATCTCCTGCCCCCCTCCTTTTCGGCCCTCCCCTCTTTCCCACTCCTGCCCCTCCCCCTCCTACTCTGCCTTCTGTGCCTCCCTTCTCTTTCCTTTCCCCACTGGCCATCTTGCAGTTCCCCCCTCCCTGCCCCTCTTCCTTCCTCCCCTATCTTTCACCCCTGCCCTCCCCTCCCACCTTCCACCCCTGTGTGCTACAGAATCAGCTTTGGCTACTGTCCTCTTCCACCAGAATGAGTCTCTCTGGAGTCCCCTTAGGAGTTGGCCCACTGTGCTCCGAGGACCAAGGTTGAGATCTGGGAGCCCCACTGACCTTTGGCTTTCCACCCGCCCCCTTCGCCTGGTTAAAGGGCAGAGTCAGTGAGGTGACGCTTTGGGGTTCAGAGGATGCCTGCACACCTATCCTGCAGGGGACCCGTGTGGACTCAGCTATGCCCATGGAAGGCAGGCAGGCAGGCATCTGCAAGCGCTTCCCAGGTTGCCATTGGCTCCTTCCTGGCTGAGCCTCCCCGGGGGGAAGGGCTGAGAACAGGAATGCGGGCTCAGGACAGCAGCTTCCACAGCCTGGGAGAGGCAGGCCGGATCTGGGAGCACCACCTGGTACGGAAACACCGGCTCCAAGCCAGGGAGTGGCCAAGCTCACGCACAGCCGCCAGGGCTGCTGGACCGTCCCACGAGTGTCCACAGGGCCACGACTCAAGGCCCCTGTTTCCTCCTGCTCTCCGAGAGCTTTGGTCATTTCCTGTTTGCTCCGCTTTCCAACGATTCCAATTATCAGTGTCAAAAGGCAACAACTGTTTTCTTGGGTCTTATCTTTGTGGCGTTTGGATGCAGAACAAAGGCTGATCCTCCGTCTGCAAAACAAACCCGGGGAGACGGGCCCAGCGGGCGGCACACGCAGAAGGTGCAGATCACACAGAGTGCAGGCCTGGAACCTACAACAAACCCGGCCCGCAACACAGAGCATGCCCAGGAGGGACAGCCGGCCCAGAGCAGAGCAGGAGCCTTTGGGCGTGAAGTCCCACACTGGACTCATGGGCAGGGCCCCAGGAAGTCCCAGGCCCAGCCCACAGGCGGGAGGGTGCGGACCCCACTGCTGCTGCGACACCCTGGTGTCCCCTAGCCACGCAGTGTGAGGGAAGCTGGGCGTCTCGTCCCAGCCTGCCTGCCCACCCACTCCGGTCCGGTCCTTTGCGATCTTCCAGCCTCTGTCTGGCCCTGTGCCCCTCCCCCTACAGGGGGCTCCTGGAGGGCACGAGGGGACGGAGCATAGACCTGTCGTGGTGGTGGCACTGCCTGCCAGCTCTGCACTTTGGCACTTCTTAGCCACCCATTTCATTTCGGGCAATTCGTTTCAGCTGTCTGAGCATGACGAGTCACAACAGGAACAGGGTGGAAGAACCAAAACAAACAAACAAACACTGTTCTCCTGTTGTTCATTGATTTGCTTGAGCGGGCCCAGTAACGTCTCCATTTTGAGACTTGTTGTTACTGTGTTTGGCATATTGAATATACTCTCGGTAGCTTGCCGGGCTCTCCGAGAGGGGCGGAGGAATCGAACCCGGCTCGGCCGGGCAGGCTGCGTGCAAGGCAAACACCCTACCGCTGTGCTATGGCTCCAGCCCGTTTGGAAGAACCAGAAACCAAAAAACAGAGCTGCCTGGGAGTGAAGCGCGCCTCCCCCCACCCCCCCAACATACACACACACACCAACAACAACCGCTCCAGCTATGAGCTCGCTCTCTCCCCAGTTCCTCGTGGGGACCTTAGCCGTCAGCCGAGCCCCAGGCTCCCGGTGTCTGTTGGTGATGCTGTGCTCATCGCAGGGACTCAGGGAGAGGGAAGCCCCCCAACTCAAGAGCCAGTGCCTTCCCAACTCGTGTCGGGACCCTTCAGAACCCAAAAGGGAGGCAGCCACTAGCTCTGTGGGTTGGAATCTGGCGGAGGCTGGCTGGTGCCACGTGTTTGTCCTCTCTGCCTTGGCACGACCTGAGGCCGGAGCTGCTGCCAGGCCTGGGAGCCGGACACACTCCCAAGTGCCAGTCTCCACCCCACCCCCGCCCCAGTCTTCCCTGCGGAGCTCCAACACACAGGCTGAGATAGAAGGCCAAGTCCCCTGACATCTGGGTTTGGGGACAGAACTCAGGAAGTGGACTATGGGGGACATGCTTCCTTGAGGGGAGAGAGATAGCAGGGTGTCAAACAAGACCACCATCTCGCCCCTTCATGCCGGAGTCACCCCAAGTGAGCCTCGACCCTTTTCCCATGAGTACCCTGCAGAGAGTGGCACAGGCCACCCCTAAGTCAGAGGCTCTGCACTGGCCCCCGGCACCCGGATTCCCTCCACCTTGCCCCACCCATGTGCTCGGTGTCCAGGACCTCCTCCCCTCTCCTCCTGCCCTCCAGTTCTCCCCAAGCCTGCCATGCCAGGTCTTTTGTTGTCATTGCAGACATGGCCTGCCCAAGGCAGAGTAGTGCAGGACTGTCACCTCCCTCCTTCTACATGTTCTGCTTCTATTAATGCAGCCTGATGTTAATTTGCTCTTTGGTGATCACATCTCACTGCTGACACATCCTGAGTGGAAGAACATTGATATCGGCTAAATCTTTCCCTTCCGTGCTGTTGCTACTCAGCTCTGTCTCTCCCGGCCCATCTTATGCTCTTGCGGTTGATTTTTGTAACCCAGGTGCCGAATCCTACTTTTATGTATACCTGTGGAATTTTGCTCGGGAGGGCGGGGCATGCATGCAAGTGTGTGTTAGTGTGTGCACTCATGCTTTCTGCTACACCAAAGCCACGTCCTGAGTCCCCACGCAGTGGTCCCAAGGCTACTCCGTCCTGGTGCGTCTCATCTAATGAGTCCTTTCCATCTTCTGTTTAGCAAGGGAAGCAGACATCCGGTCCTATGGCAACGATCCCTGAGCAGCGGCGGGCATATACCGCCCAACAGTTGAGACAATTTCAAGGTAAGCGGGGAGGATCAGTGATCCCAAAAGGGGACGGGCGGACCAACCAGGAAACTCGGGGAGAGGAGGGTGTGGACTCAGTGTGGGTTAACGGATCCTGTGAGTTTGCGGATGCGGGGGAGACTGGGGTGCTTGTGGGTCAGTGAACGCTCGTCTCGATGGAGGCTTGAGTGGGGTCCCCTGTGAAGTCCATGCCCTAATGCCCACGAGGTGGCTTTTATGCAAGAGATGGAGTCCAGGTGAGGCCGAGCCCTTCTCCCTGGGGACAGGAAGGAGTGGCCCTGGCGAGCAGCAGCCTCATGGGCCTAGAGAAAGGGGGCTCGGGGTGTCTGTGTGCTGCCACTGCGGGCCAGTCTGCCAGTTTCCAGTCCTGGTAGCAGCTGCACCCTACCTGCCGAGGCTACACAGGTCGGGCGTGGCTGCCGTGCAGTGGGGGTGTGCATGAGTATCGGGAAGGCTGCTGTCAGGGTGAGTAAGACCTCTCGGCAGCTCCAGTACCCCATGGAGTTTCAGTGGACTGGAAAGGACTGGGAGTGAATCCAGGAGGGGCTCTTGGCTGGTGCTCGTGAACATAGAGCTACACAATCCAGGAGGGCTTCCTTGAAGAGCTGCCATACAAATGCAGAGGGGAATCTTAAGAAAATCTAGAGAGCAGTATAGTCCGGAGGGATGTCAGCGCTGGTTGTATGTGCCCTACCAATAGCTCAAGTGAAAGTCCCTTCGAGCCTGACTGCACCTTCTCTCTCTCCGTAGCCGTCCAAGAACAAGTCATCTTCAATCGTAGCCGAACCACGGCCGACCCTGCATCCAGCCAGCACGTGACACCACCCGGGCCCGGGGGCCTTTCAAACACTTTCAAGCCCGGAATGACCCAGCAGCCAGGCCTCTGCTACTCCGGCATCCCAGTGCCCTTCCTGTCACCCCCTGTGCGCTCACACACCTATCCGACCCGGGCCGCCCCCTCGGGGGCACCCCTGTCTGGCTTCTGTCTCAGCTCTCTAGGCATTCAGCATCCAAGCCCCGACCTGCTCAGAGTGTCCGCTGCCGCTGCCACCGCCACCCCCACCACCATGATTAGCAGCGCCATGTGGATGCTCCTGGCCACTGCCACCCACGAGGGCTCTCGGGTCCCCTCCCTGAGCCAGATAGTGGGCAGTAGCATCCAGCAGTGTCTCGACAGCGGGGCCGTCTTCACCCAGGCCTTCCCTGCCCTGCCCTCAACCGTGCCTCCCAGGCAGATGGCCACAGGGAACAGGCCTAGCCTGAGAGCGAATGTCCAGGCCGCAGCTAGTCCTGGCCCCGTGGCTCAGCTGAGCCCTGTTCCAGCCCCAGTGCCCGTGCCAATTGTCACCATGTCCTCTGGACAGGGCTGGGCCGGCTCCGATCCCAGGAGCCCCATCCAGGCCATTGAGCCACCCAGCTCTGTGGCTGCGGCGGCCACCTCGGCTGCTGCCTCTGCTGTTGCCGCCAGCCAGTCTCTGGAGCGGCCCGGGGCCCTGTCCCCACTCGCCCATGATGCCGCGGTGCTCCCTGATGATTGTGAGCTGCCGCTCATCTTCCAGGAGCTCATGCAAGACCCCGATGAGCCCTGGCTGTGTGACCTGAGGATGATTGATGACATCTTGGGAGAGCACACTGTCATCCCAGATACCTCAGGTCCAGAGGCCCCTGGTGCAGACCCGGGCGCTAGCAGCCAACATTGAAATCACGGTAGTGTTTGGGTGGAGAGCAAATTCACAATGGGCTCCAGCCAGCCAGATAGTTACAGCCCGCTCCTCTCCCCCACCCCGCCCCCCACACAGCGGAAGTGGCACAACCCATGCCCCTTCCTCTGTCTACCTTTAACAAAATAAGAAGTTGGTGATTTTTCAAGCCACCTGTACATAGTTGAAAATTTTGTAAATGGTTTTCCTAAACGTTAATGGCAGAAGTATTTATACTTCTTTTTGTGACTTTGTAAATAAAGCCACGGCTTTTGTTTTGGTAGAGTTGTGTTTATTACGCATTGTTTTTGTGTTGATTACACATTGTTGCCTATATCCTCAAGCTTGTGTTGTTCTGCTCCCAATACCTTCGAAGCCAGGTGGCTAAGTCGCTTCCGGTTTGTGACGCAATGAGATGTGTATGTGACCTAGAGGATACCGTGCAAACTGACAATAATTCTTGCCAAGTAGAAAACCACTTGGCCATTTATTAGCATTCTCACTGAAAATTCTATCTCGTGTGTGGTTTTTTGATGTCTTTTGCAAACCTTGCCGTCTACGCTTGCTCTTTGCTGATGAGCATTTTCCAGCAGAAGCATCGTGAATGCCCTGGGAGACTGAGGCCTCTCTGGAGATTCGGGAGAGGCGGTCCCCGGGGACGAGTGCCCGGCACTCGTCATTCACCTGCAGAGAAAGCCCGCTCTGCTGGCCACCCGCACAGGGTGGAAGGGAGGTGATAGTCAGACTTTCAGGATTTTTTTCGCTGTAAGGCTCTGTGGTTTGGGGGGAAAGTCTGTAAACATTAATAGTTGATTTGGGGTTTGTCTTTGATGCTTTCTGCAATTATCGTTCTGTATATTTGAGTGTCTGTTATTGAAAACCCACGCCCACTGTTCTGTAAACTTTTCTCGGTGTCCAGACTCCGTGTAATCACATTTTAATTGCCACCTCGTATTTCACCTCAACATTTGAAATCTGGCGTCTGTTTCCAGCCAATGCGTTTTTTTCTTTGTTCTGTAATAAACAGCCAGGAGAAAAGTGCCTCTATGTTTTTATTTTTCAAGGGAGCTTTCAGTACCTGCAAGCCCACGTCAGCTCAGCCTGCTGGTGTCTTTGGTCCTTGCCCGGGCTCCCGTTTGCATGTCTTGTGCTCTGTCCAGAGGTGGGCGGTGGAGGCAAAAATGCCACCCTAGCGATGGTGCCCCTCCATCGCCAAGAAACATGGCTTCTGCCGAGTGGGCAGGAGTCAGCAGCAGAGGCCGCTAAGGTCTAGGTGTGAGGGGCTGTCGGAGATTTCCACAGTGAATCTACATCCTTTGCGCATGCCACCGAGAAGGCGACAGGCCCCATGAATGCCCCCCTCCCCTCATGCAGGGGACACCCACACAGGGCAACTGAAAGAGAGGTGACCCTGCGGTAGGAGACACAGGAAAGCAAAGGCACTGCCTCGGAGTCCAGATGAGGAGCATCACACTCCTCCCCCAAATCCTGTTAGTCCCCAAGCTGGCTCCAGGACAAGGGTCAGCCCCAGGACCTCTGCAGAAGCTCTCAGTGTGCAGTGTGCACTGCAGTGTCCATCCCGTTTTCCCCGCCCTCCCCCCGTCCTGGACTCTGAAGCTGCCTTTGGGACACAGGCCCTGGCAGCTGTGCACAAGGCCAGCTGACTTGGGCACCCAGGTCGTGGCAAGGGCCTTCTGTCAGCCCTGGGCTCCTGCTGCCTTGCTGCCCCCTCTCTTGGGCAGCCTCGGCAGTCCAAAAGTTGCTGCCTCTGGGCTTCGTCTGGAACTTGGCTTCGGGTTGGGCCACGTGCCAAGGGGAACTTCACTCTGCTGTCCTGTGGCACGTGGGCTTGGGAGGCTGACGGACAGGGAGGCAGATAATACCGTGTGGCCCCAAATGCACGGAGGCAGGTGGGACATCTCTGCTCCAAGTGACTGTCATTCTTATCCCTCCAGCTGCCTGGGAGCGTTTGCAACCTCTTCTGGATGGGTCAACAGTTCCACCCCCTGCCCCTTCAATGGCGTCCTCGGGCCATGTACTCTGGGGCTGGCACATGCAGTTCAGGGAGGCCTCAAGTCTCAGAAAAGGCCCCCAGCCCCCAGTGTCTTAGGGGTGAGAGCGGTTCGCACCCCAAAACCCAGGCTGTGGTCCGGTCCTCCACCCCAGCGACTCCTGCTCTCCTTCGGCCTCCAGTGCCCAGACAGGCCCAGCATCCACTCAGCCTTAGGCCCCGTGCAAATGCTGAGCATGGCACACTCAGCTATCATTTCCTGTGCCCACAGGGCTGACTCACCCCCGCCCCCCCCCCCCCACACACAGGCACAGACAAACCCTCACTTTGCCTCACCGGTTCCATACAGGGGCTTCCGGTTCTGGTCCTGCCCCCTCTGCCACTGCTAAGCTTCCTCTCGCCTGTACTGCCCTGGGTCCTCCCCAGCAACCTTGAACCTACCCAACCCGGTTCAGAGGACCCCCAAGGCCACATCCCTCCAGCTCCAGCTGGAAAGCGGAGCCCCTGGCCTGCCTCCCTCCTGCTAATTCTGCCCAGGGCCACCTGGCTGGGTTCCCTGCAGAAAATGGAGAAGTAAGCTCCTCCCTGGGTCATATAACCAACCCCAACTTCTCGGTGCATTTCGGAAGCGCTGGGCTTTTGTTTCTTCCAGCAAAGGCCTGGCCCTTGACTTCTGAAAGCCACTTTCTCTAAGGCCCTTCTTCCCACCGGGTCTGTAGCCCCAGAGCTTGGAGCTCTGTTTCCTTCTGCGCCTCCCTGAGGAGAGAGCCTCCAACAGACATGAGCCTCCAACCCAGCACCAGTACCACAGTACCTAAACTGCCAGGGGAAGAGGCCAGGGGAACAAGGTGAACCTTCGCGCATGCCACCAAAGGCCTCTAGGTCCCTTGAGAAGAAGCTAGGAGCGTGTTGGGAGCTCCCCTGCAATGACAGTTCCCCTCATCTTCCTCAGGCAGTAGTCCAGCCTCTTCCTGGTTGAGTGGACCTGCTCCGGAAAGCCTCCCCACAAGGTACAGAAAAAGCCACAGTCGCTATGGGCATCTGCTGCCTCCAGACCTTATTTCACCTGCCCTCCCCTACCCCAAGGCCACAAGACCCCAGGAGGCCATGTGAGACCCCAGGCTCAGGCCCCTGGAGTCAGGTCAGGGACAAGGTCGGGGAGGCGGCTCTCTCTGTCACTTGCCTGCATCATGGGAAGTTAGAGAGCTGGCAGTGGATGGCATTGTGATAAAGCACGCCCCATTGGCTTCTCTGGTGTGCAACCATGCCGTGACCCAGTCAACCTGCTCAGGGCAGGAAGCAGGGGACAGTTGCGGAGACAGGGCTATCCACAACAGACAGGAGCCAGCTAAGCAACCCGTGGACATATTCAAGGAGATTCCTAGTCAGGGATGTTCACACTTAGGAAGCTGAGGAGTCCCACGTCTACAAACTGGAGACACAGGAAGCCGGTGCTGGACTTGTGCGATTAAGGAGACCAGAGGACTGGCGTGGAAAGACTGAAGTGGCCATCCTGCTTGGAGGGCAGGAGAGTCATGGCCCAAGCAGCAAGGCATGGACCTAGTCCATGACAGGAAACCAACCGTCACCAAGAGGCAAACGCATCAACAAGGAAATGGGGACAGGGATATGCCAAGTAGTTAGCACATGTCTCCTATGTGTAGCATCCTGGGTTCCGGCCCTGGCCCTGCAAAAAAATAATCAGTAGTAACAAGTTGCGCTAAGAGCTGTCAAAAACACACGGTAGGAAAGAGAGAGGGAGGGACTGGGGGAACTGGTGGGAAGTAGGGAGCGGTCCATGGTAGCTAAGCACTCAACAGAGACAGCTCTGCAGGTCTAAACCTGGAGCTGAGATTAAAAGGTGAGAAGGAGGGGCTGGAGAGATAGCACAGTGGGTAGGGCGTTTGCCTTGCACGCGGCTGACCCAGGTTCGATTCTCAGCACCCCATATGATCCCCTGAGCACCGCCAGGAGTAACTCCTGAGTGCAGAGCCAGGAGTAACCCCTGTGCATCGCTGGGTGTGACCCAAAAAGCAAAAAACAAACAAAAAGGTTTTAATTTGGTGTTGGGGACCACATGGAAAGAAAGAGACCAGTGGGCAGGCCCCGTAAGCAAGAGGAGGGCATCAGGAAAGCGGAAGCAGTAGGCAGGGCCAGATCACACCAGGAGGGAAGGCTGGGGTCACTGTAGATGGCGGATTTCAGAATGAATGAGACCTCTTCCTGTGCACTCTCCAGAGTCTAACCAATGACGGAGGCCAGTCACTGGTGCCCCATTCCTGAGGCTCCCCCATCCCCTGGGTACCCAAGTCTACAACTAGGGAAG